CAGAATCTAGAAGCTATGCTTGCTTGTTTCATCTCACAAGTGGAACCAAAGAATATTGAAGAAGCTCTAGCTGATTCTGATTGGATCAATGCAATGCAAGAAGAACTCAACCAATTTTCCAGAAATGACGTCTGGAAACTTGTTCCCAGACCTACTCATCAACATGTCATTGGGACAAAGTGGGTCTTCCGGAACAAGATGGATAAAAACGGCGTTGTTATCAGAAACAAAGCCCGGTTGGTTGCCAAAGGATATTGTCAAGAAGAAGGTATAGATTTTGATGAAACCTTCGCTCCAGTTGCTAGACTTGAAGCTATAAGGCTGTTTCTAGCCTTTGCTGCTCATAAGGATTTCAAAGTCTATCAAATAAATGTCAAAAGCGCATTTCTCAATGGAAACCTCGAGGAAGAAGTTTATGTGGAACAACCTCCAGGATTTGAGTTACACACTAAGGGAGATCAAGTGTATAGACTCAAAAAGGCGCTGTATGGACTCAAACAAGCTCCTAGAGCTTGGTATGATACATTGTCTCAATTTCTTATAAACAATGGATTTATCAAAGGAATCATTGACAAGACATTGTTCAAACTACAAGACAGAGAAGATCTCCTGTTAGTCCAAATCTATGTGGACGACATCATATTTGGCTCAACTAAGGAAGATCTCTGCACCAAGTTCTCAACCCTCATGCAAGGAAAATTTGAGATGAGCATGATGGGGGAACTCAACTACTTCCTTGGCCTTCAAATCAATTAGAGAAGTGAAGGGACTCTCATCAACCAAGCCAAGTACACAAGGGATCTTATCAAGAAATTCAAAGTTGAACAGAAGTCATCCGTTTCTGTCCCCATGAGTACATCCACCAAGCTTGATATGGATATAGATGGAAAGGAAGTAGATCAAACTCTCTATAGAGGAATTGTTGGATCTCTACTCTACCTTACTGCAAGCCGTCCGGATATCTCATATGCAGTAGGTGTTTGTGCCAGATTCCAGTCAAAGCCAAAGGAAAGTCATCTGATAGCAGCTAAAAGAATTATTAGATACCTCAAAGGAACTCAGAACATGGGTTTATAGTATGCTAAGAGCAATTCATTTGAGTTAGTGGGATACTCAGATTCTGACTTTGCCGGATGCAAAGTTGACCGGAAAAGTACATCTGGTACTTGTCAATTCATTCGCGGAAATCTTGTTTCTTGGTTCAGTAAGAAACAAAACTCCATTTCTACATCTACAGCAGAAGCAGAGTACATTACTGCTGGCAGTTGTTGTGCTCAAATTCTGTGGCTGAAGCAACAACTACTGGACTCTGGAGACAAGACAAAGGAAGTGACAATCTTTTGTGACAATCAAAGTGCTATAGCCATCTCACAAAATCCAGTGCATCATTCTCGCACTAAGCACATTGATGTCAAGTATCACTTCATCAGAGATCATGTGGAAAAGAAAGATATCAAAATTGAGTATATCTCAACTGAAGAACAACTGGCGGATATCTTCACAACCACTAAGTGAAGCCAAGTTTTCCGATTTGCTTCACAAAATTGGTCTAATTCAATTAGACTGAGTGCGATACACGTGGCAGTTCATTTTCCACGTCTGTCAAAATGGTGGGTGGGGACGTGGCCTTGGGAATAGTTAAAAACCCAATCGCCACTAGCCGCATAAATCGCCCACATTAAACCCAATCGTCACTATAATCAGACCTCAACTGCCCACTCAGCCCACTCAAATTTTTCATCGTCTTCTTCACGAGAACCTTCTGATAAAATTCTCAAGAACCCTAATTTCTTCAGATCTTCTCACTCAAATTTCCGAGAAAATGAAGATTGTTGGCGCTAATATCCATTTCCAGAAGTTGGAAGCCAAGTGCTCCTCACCAACGTTCTATCAATCCTATCTGGAGATGATTGCTGCTCAAGAGCTCTCCGAATTCCTTCATATGGAGATTCGATTCAAGTATGAGAATGAAGTTCTTGAATTCTACAAGAATGGAAAGGTCAAGACTGTCAAATCGAAGAAGGACCCACAAAGGACGATTCAAGTCATCAATTCCACTGTTGGAGGGACAAAAGTGAAGCTTTCGCAGAAGAAATTGGGAGAAAAGCTTCACCTTCCCAATTCTGGAGTTGAAATTGGGAGACTTCCAGCCAAGAATCTGGATTGGA